AAGGGTAAGAGACTATAGAATGAACAAAGAATGAAGGGGTGGTCAAAGGAATGGAATGATGAAGTAAGGAAGGGTAGTAGTAAGAGTCAGCATACATATAGTTTATAGACAGTACCCTTAAAGGACAGAAGTCCTGAGTTCTAGTATAGAAGGGTGTAGAACCCTTAGAACTGAAGGTATAAGAGTAGAGAACTGTAACATCACCCCCCCTCTAAAACCAATTGTTCTGATTGGTGAACATTGGGCTTGGTTAGTAGCTTAAGTATAGGTCAGAACAGTAGGGCTTGGAAATCTGTAAGGCTGAGTTTGTACAGAGTACTAGGATAAAGCTAATAGAAATCTTGGATTGTCTTAAGAGTATAAGTAAGGTTCTTAGTAGGTTCTCAAGTGTACTCCTCAACTGGGTACCCTTTCCAGTAAACAAGGAATTTGAGTTTTCTACATAGTAGCTTAGTATCTACTATGTACTCTACTTTGTATTCTGGTTTAGAGCTGATGAGTTCTAGTAGAGGTAGAGAGGGTCTTTGTTGTGAAGGAAAACTAGGATTGTAGTACTAGGACAACAGAACCTTATTAAACACTAGGTGTATACACTTCCATGTTGCTAGAAGTTAGAGTTTGTAGACAGAGGCACTAACCTTCTTTTCAATAATGAAGGGTCTAAAGCACTTGTTGTCCAACTTCTTCATTAGGTAATCCAAGGTCAGATTAGTAGCTTCTAGTATAACCTTGTTACTAAACTAGTAATCCTTAGCTACAGACCTTTTCTAATTATAGTTCTGCTTTATAACCTATACTACCTTCTCTAAAAGAGCTTGTGTGTCCTCCCTGGTTCTGTGTATCTGTTCTACAAAGTCTGTTACAGATTCAGAACTACTACTCTAGTTTAGAACTGTTCTCTAGTACAGATATCTCTCATGATTAAGGAAGAACAGGGACTGTCCTGTTACAGAGTGTTACTAGTTATTATACACAAATTCTACTAAAGCTAACCATTCAAACTAATCTGATTACTAATGATTGACAAACATTCAGAGATAGAGCTTGATCTCCTGATTAACTCACTCAGTTTAACTGTCAGTCTGTAAGTAATAGGTAGTAGAAGGGTTCCCTTGAATTCTGAGAAGTACATACAAGTCCTGTATAAATTTTGACTCAAATTGTAGTCTATAATTGTGAATGAGCTTCTAAGAGAGTCTATACAACTGGAAAACATGATCCTAATAAATGTGTGCCATACCTTCAGAAGTGAGTTCTGTTCAGGTTGGAACTGTGTAGACTTACTTAGAGAATTAGTTGACAATTATACAGATAGTGTTGTAACTCTAAGACTCAGGTAGCTTACTAATCAGGTTTACTAAGACTTCTTCCTAAGAGTGATCTAGGATCTAATACAAATGTAGAGGAGTCTAAACCCTTGTCTAGTAGGCCTTAGTCTGTTAGCACATATTGTAACCAGTTATATACTTTAGGATTTCTCTTTGTATTCCTAGCTACTAGTAGTTCTGAGTAATGAGTTCCTGTGTTTTGTGTCAGTCTGGATGTTCTATAGTCAGATTGTTGTGATAAGCTTAGACAATGTTCTCCTACAGCTTCTAATCCTTCAGAACATACAGTCAGCCTTCCTAGTAAACCTGTCCATCCTTATCCTCCTCCTAATCCCTAGCCTACTTCTCTAGCTACTTTACTACAACCTGGTCCTGTGTGTGTCTTAGAGCTTACTGTATACAGGTAATAAAGTCAATATCCTCAGATTCAAGTCAGATCTCTCAGATTGTCTTGGACACAAAATAGGAATTGTCTAGGAGAACAAGATTTTTGTTATTATTCTCCCCCTTTTCATAACCTACTTGTCTTAAGAGTAAATCAGTTTTCATCATTTGTATTCTAGGTTTGTGAGTTAGTACAAAGTTGTAGTCCTACAGTTCTAACATCTAGTAGGCTTAGTAGTAGTTGAGCTTCTGAGACACCTAGAAGTACTAGAGATTAAGGTGATCACTCCAAATCTCAAACTTCTGTATAATACTAAAAAGATATT